AAGGACTTGTATAATGGGGCTAAGACTCGGGTTAGGACAGTAGGAGGGGACTCTGAGCATTTTTCGGTTGTAATAGGATTACACCAAAGTTCTGCGCTTAGTCTGTTCTTATTCGCCCTGGTGATCGACGCGTTAACACATCATATACAAGGGGAGGTGCCATGGTGCATGCTATTCGCTGATGACATAGTTCTGATTGATGAGTCGTAAGCCGGTGTTAACGAGAGGCTAGAGGTTTGGAGACAGGCTCCTGAGTCTAAGGGTTTCAAGCTGAGTAGGATGAATACGGAATACCTGGAGTGTAAATTCAGCGTTGAGCCAGGGGAAATGGGCGTGAATGTGAGGCTTGAATCACAGGTCATCCCGAGTAGAGGCAGCTTCAAGTACCTTGGTTCGGTTATCCAGGGGGGATGGGAGATCGACGAGGATATCACGCACCGTATTGGGGTAGGATGGATGAAATCTGAAGTCCGGTGTGACAAGAGAGTGCCACTAATACTCAAAGGTAAGTTCTACAAAGCAGCGGTTAGACCGGCCATATTGTATGGGGCTGAGTGTTGGCCCATTAAGAACTCACATATCCAGAAGATGAAAGTAGCAGAAATGAGGATGTTGAGGTGGATGTGCGGGCACACTAGGATAGATAAGATTAGGAATGATATTATTCGGGAGAAGGTGCACGTGGCTCCCATTAATGACAAGATGCGAGAAGCGAGACTTAGATGGTTCGGACATGTACAAAGGAGAAGCCCAGATGCTCCGGTACGGAGGTGTAAGCAGCTAGTTGTGGAGGGCACGAGAAGAGGTAGATGGCGGCCTAAGAAGTATTGGGGAAAGGTGATTAGACAGGATATGGCGAGGCTCCAGATTTCCGAGGATATGACACTTGATAGGAAGATGTGGAGGTCGAGTATTAGAGTTGTAGGTTAGGATGTAGTTGAGTCTTGACTTACTTCGTACCATTGTGGGACTAGCTAGGTAGGATTTTTGTCTAAGATAGCTAGTGACAATGTTGTGTTTTACTACTTCGCTTTTTAGTACATGTCCTATTTACTAGCTATCGCTTTTGCTTTGCATCTTTCTTCTACATTTCATGGTGTACCTATTTTTCCTATGATTGTTGTGGTGATACTAATATTGTCTCCTTTTGTCCTTTTGTCTTTTTGTTTTCTTGAGCCGAGGGTCTTTCAGAAACAGTCTATCTACTCCTTTGGGATAGGGGTAAGGTCTGCGTACACACTACCCTCCCCAGACCCCATTAGTAAGATTTTACTGGGTTGTTGTTATTGTCATTTTTGGTCAATCAATTTACAAATTTAATCGTGTTTGGAAGTGGTGAAGATTATTTAAGACCAGAATTTAAATCTCAATAGAGCAAAAAATCAAGGTGATCTCTTTATATTAGATTAAGCCGTAACACGTTAAATGATTTCTTCTTTATCTGTATAGGCTTTAGCGGCCGCATAATTATCCAATACTTCTATTTGTAGAAGATGGCATGTACTTAACGTAGTAGTTGAGGTAATGCATAAGCATAACTGATCCTAATAATACTTACCATTTAAAAAGTAATATTACATATATACTTACATAGTATGTAATTAGAGGCAAGCCTATGGTGTAATAAGAGAGGTCAGCAGCACTCGAACAGCTCAGTAAAAACTCAATATATACATGTATAAGTCTTAAAAAATAGTAATATATTAGTAGTGACATCCTACATGCAAAGAAGATTTTGGTTGAATGCAAAAAATATATTGTAATGACTCGGCCGATCGTTTTGAGTATTTCAGCCCTGTTTCTCATTTATTGCTCAATTTATGCTTTACAACTATTTTATGACTTATCGGGTTAGTTGGTTCGGGTCCGAAAGGAATTCGGAGTGAAATGAGATATTTAGTCTCATAATTTAAAATATAAGTTAGAAAAATTGATCGGATGTGAACTTATGTGTAAACGACCTCGGATTTGAATTTTTATGATTCCTCTAGCTCTGTATGATAATTTTGGACTTAGGAGCGTGCCCGAAAAATTATTTGGAGGTGCGTAGTGGAATTAGGCTTGAAATGGCGAAAGTTCAATTTTTGGGAAGTTTGACCGGGGGGTTGACTTTTGATATCGAGGTCGGAATCCGATTCTGGAAATTTGAATAGGTCTGTCAATCGGACGTGATTTGATAAGTTTCCATGTTGTTTGTAAAATTTGGAAATTTCAAAGTTCATTAGGCTTGAATTCGGGTGTAATTTGTATTTTTGACGTCATTTGATGTGATTTGAGGTTTCGACTAAGTTCGTATGATATTTTAGGACTTGTTGATGTATTTGGTTGAGGTCTCTGAGGCCTCGGGTGAGTTTCGGACGGCTAACGGATCAATTTTGGACTTTGCATTTCAGCTGAAGAATGTTGATTTTCTGTCACTGGTTTCCTTCTATGCGATCACGTGAGAAGGTACGCGATCGCATAGGCTTGTTTGGGCAGAGGTGAAATTGTTCTATGCGATCGCGTGAAGGCAACCGCGATCGCGTAGGCTTGTTGAGGCAGTGGCGATTTTGTTCTTCGCGATCGCATAAAGAGGACCGCGATCGCGTAGCTATGGGAGTCTGATATTCGCGAATGCGTGAAGAAGGTCGTGTTCGCGTAGAGTAAGTGGAGCAGAAGTGGAGGTCAAGCGTTTTATGCTTCACGATCGCGTGGACGAGTCCGCGATCGCGTAGGCCTATGAGTTTGAGCTTCGCGATCGCGTAGAGTTAATTTGGACAATGGAAGAATTGTGCTTCGCGATCGCGTGGACAGGTCCGCGATCGCGTAGAGCAAATCACTAGACAGAATGTTTAAGTTCTGAAAATGGGACTTCGTCCCATTTTTATTTTTACCGATTTAGAGCTCGGATAGAGGTGATATTTGGGAGATTTTTAGAGAAATCAATAGGGTTAGTGTTCTTAACTCAATATTGGTTAAATTACCTGAATCCATGGTTGTTTTTAACATTTAATTGATGAATTAACTTGGAAAATTATGAAAACCCTCTTGATTTAATTTGAAGATTTGAGGGTCGAGTTGATGTTAGATTTGAGTAAAATTAGTATGGTTGAACTTATAATTGGATGCGTTATCGGATTTTGTAATTTTCGTCGGATTCCGAGACGTGAGCCCCACATGCGATTTTGTGGTGTAATTTCGGATTTTAATGGAAAAATTAGTATTTTAATATAAAATTAATTTCTATAATTTGTGTGGACTAAATTAAATTTATTGTGACTAAATTCGAGCTGTTCAGAAGTTGATACACGCATAATGAAATTTTTGGAGCATTGTTTAGCTTGCCCGACATTGGATTCGTTTTGTTCGAGGTAAGTAACATCTCTAATCTTGGAGCTGAGGGTATGAACCCTAATTATACGTATTATGTAAATTGTTTGGAGGTGACGCACATGCTAGGTGACGGGCGTATGAGCGTGCACCGTAGAAATTGAGACTCGATTGATTTCTTAGAGCTTTATAGTCAATTAACTATTATTTCTCCATGTATTTTTATGTGTTAAGAGAAACTAAGTTGTGACTCGTGTTAGAAATCATGCTTAGGCAAATATTGGTATTATTGCCTTATTGGGACCCACTGAGGTCATTTCTTTTGTCAAATTATTTGTTTAAATTATAACTTCATACCCAGTCATGTTCATTCATTTCATATCATCTCTCAGTCTATGTTGCTATTTAATGATTCATCATATCATCATTTTGGGGTAATTTTCATGGCATTGTGAGCCCGAGAGACTGGAGAGATTGATGACTGAGTGAGACCGATGGCTTGGTTGTGAGGATGATGATAGGATCGGGCTGCATGCCGCAGCAGGCCATATTAGATTTATATATATTATTATTTATGGGATCGGGTTACACGCCGCAACATAGTTGACTGATTTATGCCATGATTAGCTTGTTATAGTGTTTGGGCTGAAGGATCCCCTCCGGAGTCTGTACACACCCCCAGTGAGCGCAGGTACCTACTGAGTGCGAGTGTCGAGCGATTGTGAGGATTGAGTGACTGTGAGGACTGAGTGACTGTGAGGACTGAGTGACTGTGAGGACTGAGTGAATTGATACTCTGAGAGTATGCATATGATTTTATCACTGAGATACATTGCATTGATATGCACACATGACATACAGACACAGACATGTATTTTTCTCATGTTGTACGGTATCACGTCATTCATGACTTCTCACACATATTGCATATGGGCATAGTGATACATTTTCCACTGGCTATCTGGAAAGGAAATGAAACATTTTATTTATTATTTAAAAGATTTTTGGGAAAATTATTATTTTCAAACTTACTCATATTTTTGGTAACTTCGGTAAACGATTTGAGTTTTTACTGATACACTTGAAAGGTAGAACTATTTTCAGAAATCATGATTTAAGCTGAGCATTTTATCTTCGAGTTACTTCTTTTATTACTTGCTTTATATTATTATGAACTGTTGTTGGTTATTGGAGTTGGACTTTGACCTTGGTACAAGCTCGTCACTACTTTCAACCTAAGGTTAGGTTTGTTACTTATTGAGTACATGGGGTCGGTTGTACTCATACTACACTTATGCACCTTGCGTGCAGATGTTGGCTGTTGATGTTGTTGTGTTCGATGGGAGCTGGATTTGAAGATGTACCTGTGTTCCAGTCATTGCTGCTTCTTATTCATGGTAACTTTAGAATTTTAAATTTGTTCATGTATATTTCAAATAGATGATGTATTTTATTTTATACCAACCTTGTAAATTCTAATCTTAAAAGTTCATGATTTGTACTATCAGTTCTTGAAGAGTGTATTAGAATCAGTTATATATTATTGAAATTGGTTAGTTAATAATTGACTTACATAACGAGTTAGAGTTAGGTATCATCACGACTAGTCGCCTCATAATGTAATGCATAATTATATATAAGTTTTTCGTTTCAAACAAAGAGTAAAAGATTGTAAGGAAAGTTCCCACATATATAAAATCACCCAGAACGTCCCTATATAGAAAATAATTGTAGGAAAAAACAAACAAACATTCTCAAAACTAAGTTACCAGGCCATGTGGCAAGTGTTTGGTGGGCGTTAGGAGAGGAGGATTTTGTTGGAGTTTGTACATAAGTACTACAATAAATAATGTCTTCAATAATCTAAAGAAAGCAATGATTTGATAATGACAAGAAATTATACATACAATCTTGAGAAGAAATAGCTTTAATTTTAATATTTGTTTTTTCATTGGGGGGTGGGGAACAAGAAGAAGAGACAGGTCATCTCAACAAGACATAGCCTCCTCCTTAATTATCATGGCCACCATTTCATGTACAGCACTTGCTATCTCACTCACTGTATTTAGCTGACAATTATCTTCCACCTGTCTCATGTAAATACAAATAGTTAGATCCCCTTCATTTTGCTTCTTATCACTCAAATCTTTTTGGCCAATATAATGAGAATATATATTGCCTAAAATAAGAAGCAAGAAAAGGAAAAAAAAAACAGTACTTTGAGTTTCATATAATGGTTGAACTGAGGATGTATACTATTATTTTCATGCAGTATCAAACTTCTATAAGGGTGCCGTTTGATGAAAATCTCTCTTGTATACGTATCAGGAAAAAAATAACATATTTTTATATTTTGAAACTCTTTGAATTTCTGCTTATCATTTTACCTTCATAATATGGTTTTATAATTTTATAAATGACATGACATATTTGAGACCATAAGTTCCATGTGTCAAAACCCTTTTTATCTTAAATTTTGTGATCAGTCATAACACATATAATCTTATAAAATTGCGTATATACTAACCTTGACACTGAATGAGTAAAGAACCGTATGATCAGCTGTTGAAACAGTGAGGTGAAGAATTGTAAAGCACATAGCTTGTAACCAATTAACAATCTTCAATAATTGTTTTGGTCTTCTCCTTGACAAAACCTTAACATTAGCATGGCTTTCCACCATTGTCACCTCGATGTCTGCCACCGCCGACCGCCTCTCCTCCGTCGTTGCCCCGTCGTAGGCGGTGGCCATCGGGTGGTTGTTTGCGGTTGCGTATTGAGGAAAAGTGAAGAACTTAGAGAAGGGATGTTGAGAAGCATTATTTGGTGATGATTGCTTTTTAACTTCTTGTTTATGAGCTTCCAAGAATTGAAGGAGTTGTTCAAGTTCTTTTACAAAATTAATTGCGCCTCCAACAATTGATGCTTGGTCTCCCTGTTCACATTAATAAATAAAAAAAGGTTAAATTATTGTACTAATGATTTATAATAATGTTTTACTACTTAATTGACTTTAACTACCAAGCTGGATGATGTTTCCTAGTCTTTAGGGCAATTTAGACGTTGCTTTTTAATTAAATTAAAGACGATCCTACCCGTTACCAACCCAAACAATACAACTTATAAGCTAAAATTTATACATAAAACATGCATGAATAGTATAGTAGAAAGATTTACTTACAGATCTATGAAGACACTATATGGTCGGAAATGTTAAAAAATAGTAAAAACAACAATAACAATATTCATCGTAAAAATATTAACGATAACAATAAAGGGGTTAATTTAACCCTAACTTTCTGGGCATGCTGTCAGTCTATAAATTTTTACTGGGAAAATTGACATATAAAATTCCTTATAGCAAGCTGCAAGACTAATATGGTGACCTAAAAATATATTAAAAGTACTATAATCAGAATTGTAAATTTCTTTATATTTTTTATGCATATAACCTAAATGTGTAAAATAAGGATGTAACTTAATAGATACGACAGTGTAAAAAATTTTATGGTATCAATATAATTTAATTAAACTAGTATAGCAAATAATCAACCTTTTTTTTCCTGATTTTTGTCTGTATATATAAATTAAACTCATAATACTAATAATATCATTGTGACGCTAAATATTTTTTTTTAAATGCCAACATGCCTATTAATGCATGTCGTTACGTGCGTGTGTGTGTGTGTGAGAAAGAGACAGAGAGAGAGACAGAGAAAGTACCCTTTGAGCATAAGAAGGAGGCATCAATGATCGGAGAACGGCGAGGTAATCGTTCATTTGCCGGCGGCGATTTCTTTCGACAGCAATGTGAGTCATCCTTTGGTTTTCTATTTCCTCCTTGTTCTTAGAACATTTAGTGCGCCGTCTTTTTCTCCGGCAGGAAACAACCGGAGTCTCCACCGGAGGATATTCAGCCGGCAAGAATCCGGTGCAAACTTCAGGAGATGAAGAGTTGTTATTATAGCTTTGTGCTATTGAAGAATGAGAAGAATCCCAATTATATTCATGAAAAAAGCCACCAAGATTGTAAATATCTTTGTGGCTATAAGTGAAAGGATCTTGTTGGAAAACAACAGTTTCAAGAGCCATTTTTCCTCTCTTTTTTTGTTTTCTGAAATACCCTACTATTGATTTTCTCTCTCAAAAATTGGCTAAATTGGTAAAGGGTTCAATGGGGTTTATAAAGGCTTGAAAACCAGAAGGAAATGAAGTAACAAAAGCCAAGTGGCCGTACGAATCAAATTGTATAAATTTCTTAAGCTACAGAAACTACTACACGTGAGAGGCTATGTTCTTTGGTTTGTGTGTGAGAGAGAGAAACACAGAGAAACATTCTATTGTTAGTTCCTTAATTAAATATCCTCTTGTTCATCATCGAGGAGGGTTGTGGGGAAAGAAGAGGGGTGGGGTGGGGTCTATGCTTGTCTAAACAAGAAAAAAGTAGCGCACATAATTTTATGTAACCACGGCTGAGTGAAATGGTAGTATTAATGAGTAAATTTTGGTCAGTAAAATTTATATTTTTTGTTAGGATACAAATAATTTTTCTGATTCAATTTATATGACATATTTCAATTATTGAGAGTCAATTTGATTAATTTTTAAAGCTAAATTAAATTAATTCAACTCAATATTTTAAACGGTGAGAGCAAAATGATACAGTATAAGCTTTGATAATAGCCAGTGAGTAATAACAAGTTTGATTTACGTACAATTTAAGAGATTATAATGCCGAAGTTATTAGTGTGGAGTTATGCACGAACTATTTATCCAAAGATTGTTTCTTTAATAGCTTAATTTGTCATTAATCACTCTTATCCATATTTTAATTGTACAAATAATTTTCTTATAGCTATTTGCACTGATCATTATTAAATGAGTTTTAAGTCTTATGTACTGTGTAAAGATTTTTTTATACTATTTACTCAAAGTGTATTTACAAGTAAGTCTCCCAAAAATACAAAATTAGTAAACTAAAAAATAAAATGGTTATATGCTATAAAAGGTAAACACAACATAATATATAAAACTCTTATATTGACGATGTATACAACTTAAACGCAAAATAATTCAAAAGTTTCTTCCCCTGGCTCAGGAGCGGAGTTACAGTAGTGGGTGCGAATGCGGGCAAACTTAGTGACTTTTTTCGGAACCCTGTATTTTGTATTGAAATATTTATCAAATCTATATAAATATATACTGCCGAACCCAGTAACAAAAGGGGTCTTGGTTCAATGGTAAGGGCTGTGGGTTCATTTGGGAAAGATAGGGGTTTGATTCCCTCTGAAAACAGTGTTTTATTTGTAAAATTTAGAACCACACACATCAAATCCTAGCTCCGTCTCGACCTGGCCCACCTCTTTCTTCCATTGCAAGAGAAAAGATGCTGCAGAATATGTTTACGTATTTTGATATAGCATTTGTTTGTCTTCATTTGGTGATAACAATACTTGCGAGTTTGACATGGTGAATCTTTTTATCTTTGACCAGAGAGAGACTACTCTGAACAGAATGAGTCAGTGAATGCTTTACAATAAAAGGAGTTAATTCAATTGAATTCATGTGACTGACCGTACTAAAAACAAAAGTGGAACTCTCTGCAGAAATTAATCGTCAAGAAATTCATAATATATAAAGTTTACAATCAACAACAAAATTTTTACATTATCACGATATTTAAAAGATAATAATTACACGTAGCAATCAATAATGAATGAGATCAATAACCTAAAAATAAGGTACATAATATATTACAAAATATATATATTACATATATAGTATAAATATTCATTATACTGTATTTAATATAAATTTTAAAGTTTAAAAATGAAGAAATAACAAAAAGATGAACATGTTCTCTATTTCCAAATACCACTTCTTTTGTGCTTGAAACGCCAACATCTGCTTTCTTAGTTGTAGCTTTTGAACTATCAATCTTTTTATGTTAAACTCCAATTTCGATGAAACTTTTCTGCTACTTATAATATATTCGAGACTTTAGCTAGGTAGGAGGCTAGGAGCTGAGCACCAACGGATCGTACCAAGTTGTATTCTTTAATTATTTATGTATCTATTTGTATTTGCTTTTTCCCCGCAAAACATATTTGGTGCTAACCGCTAAGTAAACACTCCACCCCTTATTTATGTGAACCTAATTATTTGACTGTGTATAAAGTTTAAAAAGAAAAAAAAAAGACTTTTGAACTTATAATGTAAAATAAGGCATAAATATTTTATGTGGTTATAAATAATTACATAAAGGTAAAAATAATTTTTTTTACGCGGAGTAAAAAAAAAATTAGTTCACATAAATTAAAACGGAGCGAGTAGAAAAAATAGTGAAGTGAGGGAAAAGGCTAACTCATTTGTTTGAAAACAAATCATCATATCATGAGATAAACCAGTTATTGCAATATGTGGCTTGCTCCGATACCATATTAAAAAACCCAACGTTAAAGATTGTGGCTCCGATATCATATTTAAAAAAAGTGAATCTAAAACTTAATTCAATTCAAATTAGTTAACTTCATGAGATGAGAATTGTTCAAAACTATATAACTAAATAGTCCATATTAATACTCTAATTATATTATATTTTCTTGAATTAATAGGGGGTGTGGAGGTGGAGAATTAGGGTAGAAAGTTAGTAGGTACTTGAGCGTATTTCCTTTCCTTAGCAATAGTATATTAGTATTATTCTTGTATTTCCATATTCTTAGATTTCTATTACTACCCTTCTATTAATACCTGATGTTTCTTCTACTTTAATTTTTTTATTATCTTGTTGTTGTTACTTTTTTTTTTATGGCGTTTTTTCTTGAGCCGATGGTCTATCGAAAATAATGTCTCTACCTTCACAAGGTAGGGGTAAGGTCTGCATACACACTATCCCCCTCAAACCCCACTGTTAGTCAAACTGTAATACTATAATATAATGAAACAGTAATATTTTTGTAATATAAAACAAAAATAGAAAATCAGAAGTAAAGCTGAATCTCGAAATAATAAAATATAATCTGAAAATAAATTTCGGAATAAATTGAGCCCACTGAATGCACAATATGTCCATAAGAAAATTATTCCCCTCAAGCACCCGAGGTGTTGTAATATTATCCTCCCAGGATAGAACGATTTAACTCACCAGAGTATCGGTACCAAAAACGCTGGTGAACGGCGAATCACTTAATGATTGTAAATCACACTGGAATGTACTTGTGCAGAAGAAGGAGAAGAAGTTCAGAAAATTTCTTAAGGAAAGATTCTGGGATCAAGGCATATTTATAGCCATTTTCTGGCACTGCTTTTGAAAAGTTTACAGCCTTTCAGAAACAGCCATGGCTATTGGAAAAGGCGGGAGCGTTCAAAATATTTTGGGAAAATAATTTCAAATAATCCGGGAAAGAAACGAACCGGGTCGCGTCGCGGATCCTAGGTTATTCCGGGTTGACTTTTCGTTAATTAATTAAATTAATTTATTAAATAATTAAAAGAAATTTTGTCCAAAAAGATTTATCAATCAATTGATCTTTGATCAAATCCAAATCCGAATCTAAAACCGAAGTCGAGCCGAGCGAGCAGCGAAGACGACGACGCGAGACTTACCTTCTTTGCAACCCATTTAACACCAAGAGAAGTGCTTTCCCAATATAAGCACATTCTATTTTCTTTCCACCACTAATGAGGGACAATTGCTCTTTCCAAAGCATTAGGGAGCTCACTTTCCCTTCATATTTCTTCCCTTCATTTCCTATTTACCAACCTTTAATCCCAACAATATCCCACATGAATGGGGAATGACTATAAGACATAGGAACGCATAGACGAGTGTGTGATTTACATGCAAGGATTAATTGTATCTGGATAAGTAAGTTTTTCTTTGAACTTTTCGTAGTGAACTTATATCGGATATACTCGGTCAATCGGTATATTTGATATCTTTGAACTGTCGAGCTTTGTTATATACCTAGACAACATAAGTCATACAATCAACCCTTAACTATCAATGGTTCTCACGGTTGTATTCGTTTCAGCCATGAACAATGCCTAGTTTCATGAGTGCTTAGAGAATGGGCATTTACTTTCTTTCCCCTTGAAGCAACTTACACTTCACACTCACATAAGTGATTTCTAAACGTGTAATCCTATAGATACACTATCTGGTCATTTTCTGCCAGACTTAGCAAATCATTAAGAAGCTTTAAGCTTTATTGACTCATCAAAAAGCCTTAATGTTTTACCCTGATTTTTAAATATTGTCTTCATTACGAGAATGGGTTAAACCTAGCTCTTAGAATCTCCAGTCTGCTAGGTAGAGTTACCGCCATGATGACTTGTCCTAGGCCTTAACCCCATTCCTTTCGATGATCTTTCAACTGCCTCTCTAGATTGGCCTTTTGTAAGTGGATCCGATACGTTATCTATTGACTTCACGTAGTCAATTGTGAAAAGACCACTAGAGAGTAATTGTCTAACGATATTGTGTCTTCGTCATATGTGACAAGATTTTCTGTTATACATAACGTTCCCTAACATACCTATTGCCGCTTGACTATCACAATGTATATATATATAGGTGCCAAAGGTTTGGGCCAAAATGGAATATCTTTCACGAAATTCCAGAGCCATTCAACTTCTTCACCGACCTTGTCTAAAGCTATAAATTCAGATTCTATTGTAGAACGGGCGATGCACATTTGTTTGGATGATTTCCAAGACATTGTTCCACCCCCAATTGTGAAAACATATCCACTCACGGATTTAACTTCAGATGATCTGGTGATCCAATTTGCATCACTATATCCCTCAATCACAGAGGGATATTTGTTATAATGTAGAGCATAGTCTTGGGTATGTTTCAGATACCCCAAACTCGTTTCATTGCCATCCAATGTATTTGATTGGGATTACTTGTAAACCGACTCAGTTTGCTAATAGCACATGATATATCTGGCCACGTACAATTCATGATATACATCAAACTTTCCAATACTCTTACATAGTCCAGTTGTGAGTCACTTTCACCTTCATTCTTTTGAAGTGCATAACTCACATCAATTGAAGTCTTGGCAATCTTGAAATCCAAATACTTGAACTTGTCAATTACTTTTTCAATATAGTGAGATTGTGATAACGCTAGACCTTGTGGAGTCTTCCAAATTTTGGTTCCTAAGATTACATCAGGAACTCCTAAGTCTTTCATGTCGAATTTGTTAGCTACCATGCGCTTAGTAGCATTTATATCTGCCATATCTTTGCTCATTATCAACATGTCATCAACATATAAATAAACAATAACTTCATGACTTGGAGTGTTTTTAATGTAAACACATTTATC